TTAACAAAAACAGGATGCGTTTCAATACTGACAAGTGCAGGGTGCTGCACTTGGGCAGTAGTAACCGGCAACACACTTATAAGATGGGAAACTCCCTTCTTGAGAGCACGGAGGCAGAAAGGGATCTTGGAGTCATCACTGATTCCAAGATGAACATAGGACGACAATGCGAGGTCACGGTCGGCAGGGCTAACCGGGCCCTATCGTGCATCCACAGGTGCATCTCAAATAGGGCCAAGGAGGTGATCCTCCCCCTCTATGCGACACTGGTCAGGCCGCAGCTGGAGTACTGTGTCCAGTTCTGGGCACTCCACTTCAAGATGCATGTGGACAGCATGGAGAGGGTCCAGAGGAGGGCCACCCGCATGACCCGGGGACAGAAGGGCAGACCCTACAACAAGAGGCTACAGGACCTGAACCTGTTCAGCCTTCACAAGAGAAGGCTGAGGGGGGACCTGGTGACCGTCTATAAACTCACTAGGGGAGACCAGACGGGTTTGGGAGAGACCTTGTTTCCCCCAGCGCCCCCCGGGATAACAAGGAATAACGGCCACAAGTTGTTGGAGAGCAGGTTTAGATTAGACATCCATAGGAACTACTTCACTGTCAGGGCGGCTAGGATCTGGAACCGACTTCCAAGGGAAGTGGTGCTGGCTCCTACCCTGGGGCGCTTTAAGAGGAGGCTCAATGCCTACCTGGCTGGGGTCATTTGAGCCCAGTTTTCTTCCTGCCCAGGCAGGGGGTCGGACCTGAAGATCTGCAAGGTCCCTTCCGACCCGACTTTTGTGATTCTATGATCTGCAGGGTGCACCTCCTTTACCCTTATAATTGCATTTCACAGCTCTTGAGAGGACAGAGACCAACCACAGGGGTATCATGTTACGTTGTGGGGCTTGATAACCAAGGAACCTGTTCCAGAGACTATCGTGGTGGGAAGGAAGGCAGGGGGTGCAGCTGGCACCTGGTGGTGCTAAGTTCTGATGAGGGGCTGAGCAGCAGAACTGGCTGAACTGGGCCCACGGGGTGGCAGTAGCAGTTTCTTGCAGACCACGATGGGCACGTGCAGGCCTGGGAGATGGGTGATGCGGTGGGGAGCAAAGGTTTGGTCAGAGTGGAAAGCAGGGAATCCTTCCCCAGGAATATACGCTCTCCTTCCTGCAACTCTACAGCCTCAGCACAAGAACCGCGGGGCCAGCAGGGACGTCAGAGTGGGAGTCTGCCAAACACAGTCCCTGGGTGTCATACGGAGCCAGCTGTCTTGGGGAAGGCACCTATGGTGAAGACGCTTCTTCTCCCCTGGGAGCACTGGCTGTTTTAGAAAATGATGGGGATGGCACAGGCTCCAAGGCTGATGCAAGGATCATCTCACAGATCCCCCAGTATCCGTCCTGGCCTCTGCCTGAGGTGTTTCCTTATAAACTTCCACCTGCATCAAGCCTGGGAGACCAGCCTTTGTGTCCATTTGGTTTTCTAGTGGCCTAGAAAGGCTGAATGAAGGGTGAACTGTTGGTGCTGCCCACCAGCATGAGACTGCTTCCTTGTATGCAAACACCAGTGGGTGCAAAGCCCGGTATATAGACCCAAACCCTTCCTGTATTGCTGGCAGAATCATGGATGCCCCTGGACAGGGATGCACTGGTGCTGAACCAGTTGGAAGGAGTGGAGGAAGCACTTCCCACACTCCGAGCATACATGTGGTTTCTTCCCTGTATGGATGAGCTGGTGTCGGGACAGGTGGGAGGACTGGGTGAAGCTCTTCCCACACTCTGAGCACTGATGTGGCTTCTCCCCTGTGTGTATCTGCTGGTGGTGGACCAAGGCGGAAGATACGGTCAAGCTCTTCCCAAATTTGGAGCACAGATATGGCTTTTCCCTCATGTGGATAAGTTGGTGATGAGTCCGGCTGGAGGAGTGAGTGAAGCTCTTCCCACACTCTGAGCACTGATATGGCTTCTCCCCTGTGTGGATACGCTGGTGCTGAGCCAGGTTGAAGGAGTAAGTGAAGCTCTTGGCACATACTGAGCACTGATGTGGCTTCTCCCCTGTGTGGACAAGCTGGTGCTGAGCCAAGGTGGAGGACTGAGTGAAACTCTTCCCACAGTCTGAGCACTGATGTGGCTTCTCCCCTGTGTGGATTCGCTGGTGCTGAGCCAGGCTGGAGGACTGAGAGAAGCTCTTCCCACAGTCTGAGCACTGATGTGGCTTCTGCCCTGTGTGGATTCGCTGGTGCCGGGCTAGGCTGTAGGACTGAGTGAAGTTCTTCCCACACTCTGAGCACTGATGCAGCTTCTGCGTGTGGATTCGCTGGTGCTGATCTAGGCTGCGGGAGTTTGCAAAGCTCTTTCCATGCTCCGAGCACTGACGTGGCTTCTCCCCTGTGTGGGTACGCTGGTGCCTCGCTAGGCTGCAGGACTGAGTGAAGCTCTTTCCACACTTTGAGCAATGATGTGGCTTCTCCCCTGTGTGGATACGTTGGTGCTGAGCCAGACTAGAGGACTGACTGAATGTCTTCCCACACTCCAAGCATTGATGTGGCTTCTCCCCTGTGTGGATACGCTGGTGCTGAGCCAGGCTAGAGGAGAGTGTGAAGCTCTTTCCACACTTTGAGCACTGATGTGGCTTTTCCCCTGTGTGTATTCGCTGGTGTTGAGCCAGGCTGGAGGAGTAAGTGAAGCTCTTCCCACACTCTGAGCACTGATATGGCTTCTCCCCTGTGTGGATTCGGTGGTGCTGAGCCAGGCCTGAGGAGTTAGCAAAGCTCTTCCCACACTCCAAGCACTGATGGGGCTTCTCCCCTGTGTGGATACGCTGGTGCCGAGCCAGCTGGGAGATGTAAGCGAAGGTCTTCCCACACTCTAAGCACTGAAGTGGCTTCTCTCTTGTGTGCATGCACCGGTGACTCGCCAGGTTGAATAGCTGCCTGAATCTCTTCCCACACTTGGTGCAGTGGTGCCACACACACTCATGCTGGGACAGGTCTTGCAAGCAGCTGAAGTCCTTCCTGCACTCAGTGCAGTGGTGCGTCTTCCTCCCTCGGGGGATGCACCGGTCCTGAGACAGGGAGAAAAAATGGGTGAATCTCTTGCCACTCGTGACACAGCTGTGCCTGATGCTTCCCCCTCTGCACATGTAGGTGCTTCACGAGGTCTGTGGTGCGCACAAAGCTCTTCCCCCATTTGGGTGAAGCAGTGGGGTAGCTTTCCAGAATGGGTCTTGCAATGAGCAACCAGGGCAGAGGCAGGTGAAGGTCTTCCTACATTTGGTGCATACATGGGACTTCTCCCCAGATGGACACTTAAAGGTTTTCCTGACCTTTAGGCAGGGGTCATGTAGGTGCTTCACGAGGTCTGTGGTGCGCACAAAGCTCTTCCCCCATTTGGGTGAAGCAGTGGGGTAGCTTTCCAGAATGGGTCTTGCAATGAGCAACCAGGGCAGAGGCAGGTGAAGGTCTTCCTACATTTGGTGCATACATGGGACTTCTCCCCAGATGGACACTTAAAGGTTTTCCTGACCTTTAGGCAGGGGTGAGCTCTGCCCCTGTGCTTGGCAGTGAGCTCCTGCTTCCCTCTGTTGGCCTCCCCACTGCCTTCGCTTGAATGCAGTGCATATTTTCAATGGCTCTTTAGGTCTCTCAGCTCTTCCCTGAATCCAGGGAACCTGCACCACAAATTCTTCCCCACGTCCGGGGCTCTTTCTAGGTTCTGCCCCTTCTCCACCCTCATGCCCAAGGGGAGATGGTACCTGGTTCATCGCTACATTCTCCTTCTGCTTTTGGGGCCTCCCCTGACTCTCGTGCCATGGCTCCTTCTCAGGTCCCAGGGAGTCCATCTCAACCAAACTCCTTGGGGACGTCTGTGCTGGCTCCAGGTCTACAGACCCTTCCGCAGGAGGCTGCTCCTCAGCTCTGCTCAGTGGCCAGGCACCTCCTGCATGGGGAAGAGACACTCCAGATTAGTCCCTACACTGCTGGGAAAGGGTAAACACTGCTATTTCTTCTACTAGGATGGGCCTCAGAGCAGGCCTGGACCTTGGCATTGTGTTCCTTTAGGAAAACAAGATTTTCCTGCCAAAACCCCAAGCGCTGGGGGTGAGGGAGTGGCAGGCCCTTTGGCTCGGCTAATGTTCCCTACTCAGTGCAGTTCAGAGCCTGACTCTGAAGAGTTTCTGGCCCACCTGTCCTTACCATCACCTCAGGCCCTGCTGGGACAAAAACAAGTGGAACTTGTGCATTAGGGCAGTGTCTGAAGAGTTTCATACTCTAAGGGGCTGAGTCTCAGGCTTTGTGACACTCAAGGCCCCAGAGAGGAAACATGAAGGGGGCAATTCTGGTGCAAGCCATGGGGGATTCACTTCCTGCCACAACCTGAAATCTTGTGAATCCCACCCGTGCCATGGCGCCATTTCATGCAGCCTGAGATCAGAATGAAACTCTTCCTGGGTTCCAGGTCAACCTGACCAGAAGCAGCCAGCAACAGCCTCAGCTTCTTTCTTGTCCAGCAGGAGTGGCTACAAAGAACCTGTGTATACCATGCTGATTTCAATGGGGGACTACAAATCCCATCATACCCTGGGAGAGGGTGGCTACCTTGGGCTGCTGAATGAACTCTTACATTGCTTTGTGACGATGGCAACTTAAGTTCGTGGTGGCGCACATAAACTAGATCTGGGCTGAAAATCAGAACAACAAATCTGACTGTCCCCTAACATGTGTCGTTAGAAGGAGAAGAAGGGAACAGTTTCTTGTTTCCAAATTGTTCAATTTGAGAGAGTGGGAACAACACCTGCCTGCACACATTACAGCAGGCGTGGGCAAAATATGGTCTGTGGGCCGCATGTGGCCCACGAAGGGGGTTGTCCAGCAAGCACCAGTGCATGCAGCCCTGACCCCATGCCAACTCCAGGCTCACCTGTCCGGGCTGAGCAGTAGCAGCAGTGGCTGCGCAAGAAGAAACTGCTGCTCTTGGGGGGGTGGGTAAATTAGCTCCTGTCCCTCGCCACTGCTAGGCAGTTTTTGGTGCATCCTGTGTGGCAGGGGTGACAGTGCAGAGCAGCTGCAGGGCAGCCCAGAGGCAGTGGTGACCAGTTGTGGCAGCCCATGGAAGCTAGATGCGAGACAACCACCAAGACAGCAAACCTGACTGTCTCCCAATATGTGCCATTAGAAGGAGAAGGGAACAGCAGTTGCTTGTTTCAACACTGTTCAGTTTTAGAGAGTGGGAACAACACCTGCCTGCACACATTACATCAGGGGTGAGTAATATACAGCCTGTGGGTGGCATCTCACCCACGGAGGGGCTTTGTCCAGGCTGCAGCGGGTTCCCTGGCATGGCTCCACAGCTGGGATGCCTTCCCAGGTAGTCCAGGTGGCAGCAGCTTCTTTCGGCTGCCGCCAGCCGAGCCATCGTGGCAGGTACCAGTGCGCGCAGCCCTGGTCCCATGTGCTCTATGCCAGCTCCGGGCTCGCCTCTCTGGGCTGAGCAGTGACAATGTGGGAGAGAAACTGCTGCTCAGTGTGGGACAAAAGCAACCCCTCCTGCTGCCAGTGCTTCCAGGTATAGCTGCCCAGAGCCCATGCAGGGCTGCCCTGAGTCTCCACTGTGTCACTGCCATCTCCAGCCTGCCCGGTGGGGCAGAGGTGGCTACTCAGAGCAGACCCAGGACAGCCCTGCACGGGCTCTGGGCAGATGCACCAGGAAGCGCTGGCAGCGGGAGGGGAAGGGACCACTTTTACTCCACGCTGAGCAGCAGTTTCTCTCCCCTGCCACGGCTGCTGGGCCTGGGCCCCAGCACCAGCTCTAGGCTCACCCCTCCAGGTGGAGCAGCTTCAGCAGCAGCGGCAGCAGCTGCACCAGGAAGAAGCTGTCACTTGTTGCAGGGAAAAATCGACTCCTCCTCCTCGCTGACACACCAGGCAGTTTTTAGTGCGGCCGCCCGGAGCCTGTGCTACACCAGGCTGCCCTGCGGGTCTGTCACTGCCGCCTGTGGGCTGACCTGCGCGGCAGCAGTGACAGAGCAAAGCAGCCGCAGGGCACCCCAGAGGCGGCGGTGACCAAGCTGCAGGCAGCTGCACCAAAGACTGCCCAGCAGTGATGAGGGGGAGGGTCCGCTTCCCACCCCCCACCCTGCAACGAGCAAGTTTCTGCCTGGCTGCTGCTGAGGCTGGAGGGGTGAGCCTGGAACTGGCACAGGGTGCATGGGGCTGGGACTGCAAAGCACTGCTCTCCACTGCTACCATGGGGCTGGGGGCAGCAGGGGCAGCAGCTGGAAGGGGCTGCTTTACCCATGCTGCATGCCCAGGGGCAGTTGAATGCATCAAGGCTAGGCAGAGCTGGCACAGGCCGTGCTGGGGCTGTGTGGCTCATTTGGGCACATGAAGGGGCTCCCATGCACACCCCACATATCCTCAAACCCTCCCACGCAAACCCCACATCTACACCATCCCCCCCTGCAATCATACACACCAAAAACGCCACACCTTCCCACATCCTTCTCTACAATCCCCCACACTCACAACCACAAGCCTCTTTGGGAAGCCCCGTTCACTGCTACATGCACACACCACACACCCCCCCCCCCACAGGCCACCACAAACCCCATACCTACCCACACATCCCCACAAACCACCCATACCACCCCACACATCCACACACACCCCATACCCACTCACCCATACTTTCTAGGGGTGCACTGATAGACATTTTGTGGGCTAATACCGATAGACGCTTTTTAAGGAGACATATCGGCCAATACCGATCCAATTTCATATACAGCTGCATCGAGCTGGTAAGTCTGTTGTGGTGGAAAGGAAGCGGGAGGGAAGTGGTGTGGGGGGGCGATCAACACCCCCTGCATGGTGAGGGCAGGAGTGGGGCTGGGGCATGCACTGCCCACCCAGCTGGGGTGGGGGACACAGCCTTGGCTTGTCCGGTGGATATAGTGGGGGGAAGGGCAGCTCCCGCCACTGCGCACACCCCAGGAGGGCATTGCGGGGGGCAGGTCATGACCCCCTGGAATCACGGTCAGCACCCTGCAATGGCAGCACAGGGCAGGCCTGCGGCTTCCAGGTCCTGCATGCACTCTGGCTATGGAGCTGTACTGACGGTAGCATTGGGTGGGGGCGGGAAACACCCATAACTCACCTGGCAGCAGGTCCTCCCATCTTGAGATTTCCCCACAGTCCTCATCTTCACAGACCCAGAGCTCCACCTGTCCTCGCTGGATGCTGCAGATTAAGTCAGGTGTGGGACCTCGATATCCTGTTTGGGCAGTAGTTAAAGAGCATTTGTGACTGCGTACAGGACACAGAATCCAACTGAGATTTGAGGAATGGATCCAGTGAACTCAAGGTGTCTACTAGGGCCTTGATGGACAAGAGAGGATGGGCATTTAAGATGAAAGACAGGGCACTGCAGGAAGAAGCCTTCAAGAGATGACAGTCCTTATGGCCCAGGTGGATGAGGAATGGTCACAGGAAACAAAGCTCCAACCACTCCTCACTCCAGCATTAAACTGGGAGAGTCACCAGGGGCAGGTGTAGAGTTGCAGTGATCTATGATGCACTGGGGAACAGAAACAAAGCTTTCACTGTTTGCAAGGTACCAGAAAGAAGAGATATTGGACACACTGATTGATGGATAACACTTATCTTATCAGTGTAATTCCAGGAAAAGAAGTGAAAATGAGCTTAGTGAAGGGACTCATGGCAGTGAAAAGTGTTAGACCCCGACTCCATGCTGCGCCCAACGACTCGAGAGACGACTATCCAATAGCTCATGGATCCAGTTGCTTGTTAGCCAGAGCAAGCAGGGTGCAAACACCAGCACACACTGCTCGCAACAGCTTTATTCAAAATGGAGACAGCTTCGGACAAGGGTCCAACAAACTGGGGACCTGCCCCAAACATCAGTTCTTTCCACGTTTTTACACCTTGGTTCATGCTCATTAAAATTCACTCCACCTCTGTCCCTCCCTTTGTTCCACCCATATCAGCTCGCATCTCAAGCTCCGCCTCTGTTTACTGTTTACTTCATTAGCATGAAATCACCTCTGCATTTAATTCATTTACATGCCTTTTCGCTCTAAGCGCACGTGTAAGGCCATGAACTCGGCTTCTCCCAGTCACTTGTGGTTTCCTTGCTGATTTCAGCACTATCCCCAGGATCTTACATCTGCTTTATCTCCGAACAATAGCCGTTGGTCTGCATCCTGTTTCCTTTTACACAATACATCATATGCCCTGCACACTATCCCAGGGTTAGAAAATTGCTTGCTTAACCATTTGCAAAGTTACTTTTAATATATCATTCTGCCTTGTGACCAACAGCTTTTGCTGAGACACAGATAAACTCTTTTATTCAGCTGCAAATCCAGTGCTCCCCAAGATTCAAATATTGTCACCCTAACAAAAAGCATCCATGACAAGTGGATAAATATGAGACTTATTTCTAGGAGAGAGAGTGATTTGTCATCACCAGGGACAGAAAAGGATGATCTCATAATAACTGTAGCTGCAACTGAGCCATCATCCCGTCCATTGGGAGGATCACCCCAGGAGGGGTGAGGAGCGCAGAGGTTGGCAAGCACTGCAGGCTTGAACACCAAGTTGCTGGGAGCTGCAGATATGGACAAAAGAAGGCAGAAAGAGACACGTTTCACAGCATGTGAAAGGCCGTGATATAGAAATGGTCCATGTGGTCTTTGCTGAGCTAGAGAAAACACTGAAGCACTTCCTTAAGGAGATCCTCTGGGGGAAGGCAGGGGAAAGAAAGCATCAGAAAAGCAAACTGACCTCTTAAAGGCTCAGTACCACAGCCCTATGCACAAGCCAGTACAAGCCCCTGTATTAGAGATCCTCTGGAAATGAAAACTGGTTCTCACTAGGTCCTGCAGCTAGCCCACTTCTTGTCATCACAATGATGGGCATGCAATCAGCAGAGGGATTTTAGGAAGAGCACAAGAAAACTTCTGAGAGGGGCAGAGGGAGCTTGAGAATCTCTGACCTACGGAGATGAAGTTGTTAGGAAGGGATGCGGACGAGAGCTTCCAGAGACCCCTTGGCAGACAAACCTGGCTTACATCTCGTGTACACGTCGCAAGAGGAGCAGTTGAGCAAATGCCTCTTCCCGTTGTAGCAGCAGAGGCTGATAAGACTTTCTATTAACTTCTGCTGTGTCTGGAGAGAACACGCTAGGCCAGACAGGGAGGAAGTCAGAATCCTCCCCCAGGGAACAGCTCTTAGTGCATTCGTGCACAATGACCTGGAGATGGTGTAAATGTGCTGAGACAGTAAAGGGAGATCATGTTGCCAAGAAACTGCTGCATGTGGAAGAACCAGGAGTCACAAGAATGGGGAAGGCACAAGTGAAGGCGGCTGGAGCAAATGAAGGAGGAGATCTGTCTGAAATGTGAGGGAGGCCTGATCACTGACAGGGCAGTGGGGAGAAAGAGGATTTAAACCTCCAGCCAAAAGTTCATGAGGATGAGACTACTGAAACAGGGAGGTGACTACAAAACCGTTCACATATCTCCAGGGAGAAGCAAGACCCAGAGCTTTACCCAGGGAAACGAGGGCTTGGTGATTCTTCAGCATCTGGTCCCGGTAAAGCACCTTGTCTTCATCGTCCAGCAGCTCCCACTCCTTCCGTGTGAAATACACCGCCACGTCCTCAAACACCTCCCGGAGCTGCAGGCACAAGCGTTGCA